TTTCATCTCTGAAGCAGTTATTCTTTACATGAATGGTATTATCATTAATCGCTGTAGTCATTTGTTCATAAAACTCAATTCGCCAATCAAAATCATCTTCGGTTAACTCTTGCAATATTCTCATTTTGAATGGACAACATTTATGGAGTTTAGTAACTGTGTGTACAGAGTCTATTGAAATGCCAGTCGCAGCAACAATTTTGCGTGATGAAGTATTGGGATTTATTCCAAAATGACCCAAAACATTAACTTGACCGTATTCACCCAAAACTCTCCGATGATCACGTGAAAGAGGGTGAAGTAGTTTTGTTGTCCCACTTGACAAATCTATTGACGTGTCTCGGAGTTTTTTCTTTTAATCAGTGGTTTTCGATAAATTCGTTGTGGGAAGTTTTCAAATGAACACCCTGTATGTAAGTACGAGCCAATGTCATTACTCCAAGGTTTACAAAAATATCTCTGCTAGATGACCTACTATCAATTCCTGCAATAATGCTCAAAATTCGTTTTTGCACTACAAATACTCTATCGGCTTCCCGGCATACACCCCAGGCCAGTATACATACCATAACATACAGGGTGGCGCATCGAAAACGAAACAGGCGCATTTACTGGCAGCTCAGGTTTTTTTTTGGAAAAACGCTCAGACCTGTCGATTTTGTTTTCGAGAGGGACACACGTTTGGAAAAAAATCACGTTAACACCTGCAGCCCCCTGGGCGGGGGTGACACCAACCCTAAAATCTTAAATGGAAAGGGGGGTCGAGTGATACCTTATTTTAATGGTCTTTCACTTCCCTTTATGACGATGTAAAATACATGAGCTTCAGTTCAGTGGTTTTGAAGATTCATTGATTTAAAGCTTAAAGTAGAATATAATAGGTACATCAGATTAGTTTGTACTACTTTCAGAAGAAATTTGACTAAAAGAGTTTACTTAATATGTAAATGCTTTTCTTCACCACGCCCATGGTTTGTTTATCATTTTGTTGTTGAAAATAGCTATTGGAGCGTTTTTTGGTGTCAAAAAAGTTATTTCTTAAAGAAAGATAAGGAAATATCTCGTACTCATTTTAAATAGGAATTTAGTACATAACTTGCGATTGATCTGACCAAACTTTGTTGCTAAAATAACTTGTAACGCTTTATTACATAAATTAACCATGGTATATTCCACAGCAGAAAGAGTTGAAATTATCGAAATATTTTTCGGAAATATTCAGTGCTCTAATAGAACAGCAGAAATATTTAATGAGCAACACAGTAACGTGCATCAAAAATATGTTCTAGAACTTGTAGCTAAATTTCGGGAAACTGGGTCAGTCGCCAATAAAAAACGCAACATTGAAAATCCCATAAGGAACGAAGCAATAGAAGTGGGGGTTTTAGGGCAAGTTTATGTAGATCCTACGTTAAGTACCCGCAAATTGGAGACTGTGTGTGGTGTTAGTCGACGTACTGTCCAACGGATTCTAAAGGCACATAGTTTTCATCCGTATAAAATTCACCTGGTACAAGAACTTAATGAAGACGATTTTGATCGGCGATTACAATTTTATGAAGATATGAGTGAACGAATTATAAACGATGAACATTTTCTATTCAACACTTGCTTTTCCGACGAATGTTCCTTCTTCTTAAATCGTCATAACCATTCCAACAGGATGGTGCCCCACCACATTACGCATTACTTGTTCGACAATATTTAGATCAGACGTTTCAAGATCGATGGATTGGTAGAAGAGGTGCCATTGAATGGCCCCCAAGATCGCCAGATTTATCACCTTTGGATTTCTTTATGTGGGGTCATTTAAAAAGCAAAATCTATGCTACTCAGCCAACATCATTAGAAGACCTGCGACAAAGAATTGTGAATGAGTGCCTTCAAATTACTCCTCAAATATTGCAAAATGTGCGTTTTGAGCAAATTTTTTATTATTGCATGGAGAGTCATGGTGGCCATTTTCAACATTTACTTGCGTAACGGGTCAGTTCATTCTTCATTTTTAAATTACTTTGCTGCCAAATGTATTGATCTCCGCTAATGATGATGTATTAGTTTTATTTAAGCTTCAAATCAATAAATCTTCAAAGCTACTGAACTAAAGTACATTAATTCATTACAAAGGGAATTGAAATACGTTTAAAATAAGGTATCACTCGACCCCCCCTTCCATTTAAGATTTTGGGGGTGGTGTCACCCCCGCTTAGGGGGCTGCACGTGATAAGGTGATTGTTTGCCAAACTTGTGTCCCCCTCGTAAACAAAATCGACGGGTCTGAGCGTTTTTCAAAAAAAAAGTGAGCTGCCAGTAAATGCGTCTGTTTCGTTTTCGATGCGCCACCCTGTATGAGTGTATAAAGGCGAAGTAGTATATTTTCACAGACGTTTTCAATCCAAATGTTTGAGAACAGCCAACAAAATAATGTTGGCCCCAACATTGCTAGAGGTACAATAACGTTCAAGTCAGCCTCTTTTATAAGCCTGCATCTCAATAACTTCCGCCCATTGAATAAGTGAAACATATACTGGAAAGGAGAGTGATCATTCTACCACATCCTCTACAAACGTTAGCAGGCCTTTGGAACTAGGTTCAGCTAGATTGCGATGAGAAATCATAAGGAGACATAAATCATTTCTTCAGAAACATTCCTCGACGACTGGAAGAAAGTATACAGCATCTTGGTGGCCCAAAACATTTTCAGGAAAAACTTGCTTGAATTCTACTCGGTTTCTCTAAATAGTTTTCGTGCAGATTCTTGACTAAAAGCAAAAAACTAGTTGAGCATAACATGGACATTTCTGCTGTTATATCATTGTCACTATATTTTTTCCGACAAAAGGATTGGGAAGTACTTTAGTTAATTTGATAATCTTAGTTTTTATGGCGTACTGAGCTTCCTCCGGAGAATCTCGTCGCACTAAGATAAGACCTGAAAATATATACTTATAACGCGAAGGTACCTCACCTCAGAACATTCAAAATTAAACTAAACTTATTTTAGTTTAGTTAATTATCCATCCATAAATTTTGTTTAACTCCAGTATTTTGAATTTTTCCATGTTGTTGTTAGGTATTTTATTCTGTTAGCAAATCTTAGATTGGGACTTAGCGTTTAATGGAACAAGAAGTGAAATGAAATTAATCAAAATTATCCCACATCAGACTAGATAAAAGCCCGGTGTTGGAGTACATGCCCTTTTGTAACGCTGATGACTATAATATACTATTGGTATGTCTGGGCGGTCCGTAGGACCTTTGCCCATTACTCACTGTCTAATATGCGTTAGTCGAATCTGTCAGTCCTGGATGCCCAGAAACCAGACAATGTCAAGGAAAAATAGAAAGGGATACAGAAGAAACAAGGAGAAATGCAAATAAAAATAGAAGTGTACCAGTTTAAGAGGAAAAGCCTAGCTTTTTTGACTTGGTACACGGATTAATTTTGAGGTGAAATGTAAGCAAATTTAGATTCAGGTTTTGTTACAGTGTAATTTTGCGCTTACTAAAAGTTCGCGCTATTTTTTGATAACAGTGCGAGCCGTGGCTGTGAATGTTTACGAACTTGCTCGACCGTGTAGTCATCTGAGTCACGGTCACTGGGTATATAACGGGTGATTTTTTAAGAGGTATAGGATTTGATTTTCAAAAAAAAAAACAAAAAACGATTAAATCTTTATTCAAGTCGATAGAATGGTCGATATAATTAAATTTAATGTTTAAAGATTATTTCATGTAAATGTTGGCCGCGGCTCCGCTTTAGATGGCCCATGCGCAAGGTCCAACTTTAGCACACTCTCTCCAACATATCGGCCGGTATCTCACGAATAAATGCTTCAATATTGGCTTCCAGTGCGTCAGTCGTTGCTGGTTAATCTCTGTAGACATTAGCCTTAACATGGCCCCACAAGAAATAGTCTAACGGCGTTAAATCACACGATCTAGGCGGCTAATTGACGGGCTCCAAACGTGAGATAAACTGTTCACCGAACTCGCCTCTCAATAGGGCCATTGTTTCGTGTGCGGTGTGGCATGTGGCACCATCTTGTTGAAACCATATGTCAGCCAAGTCCAGCTCTTCCATTTTGGGCAAAAAAAGTTTGTTATCATCGCACGGTAGCGCTCGCCATTCACAGTTACGTTCCGGCCATTGTCTTTGAAGAAGTACAGCCCGATGATGAAACCGGCCCATAATCCACACCAAACAGTGATTTTTTCGGGATACATTGGTAGCTCTTGCAATGCTTCTGGCTGGTCTTCACTCCAGATGCGGCAGTTTTGCTTATTAACGTACCCATTCAACCAGAAATGACCTTCGTCGCTGAACACAATTTTTCGATAAAAATGTGGATCTTCCTCCAACTTTGCCAGCGCCCATTCACCAAATTGGAAACGTTGTGGGAGGTCGTGTGGCTTCAATTCTTGCACCAGCTGTATCTGATAAGATTTTACACCCAAATCCCGTCGCAAAATTTTCCACGTAGTGGAGTAACAAAGGCCCAATTGCTGCGAACGGCGGCGAATCGACTTTTCACGGTCATCACTAACACTGGCGGATACAGCCGCAATATTTTCTTCAGTCCTCACTCTACGGCTGCGTGTTGGTAGTTCAATGTCCAATAATGTAAACTGGGTTCGAAATTTAGTCACAACCTTCCGAATAGCTCCCTCAGTAGGCCGACCAAATTGCCCATAAATTGGAAGCAGTGCTCGATGCACTCTCTTAACCGAGCATGAATTTTGATAGTAAAATTCAATAATTTGCAAGCGTTGTTCGTTCGTCGATTCATGGTTAAATTATAGACCAAACTGAACAAGTTTGACAATGACACAAGACACGATTCACGCGTCATCTGCCAAAAACAGTGTTGCCAAAAAGATACTAGCAAAAAAATCACCTATTAGGTTCTTTCGTCGGGACATCCAGCTTACCTCTTGTTGCAACCACCTTGGGTGCAGCCTCAGCTTAACCATTTGGTAATGATCGTTACGCCTTCCAGACATACTCTGCTAACAAGCTGGTACCAGACTCCTGTAGTACCGCCACAGCCTTGTTCTGTGGGGTCAAAGCCAATCACAAAACTTCAGGAGTGGATGCTACTGTGGATGTGGATGATTGTCAAGCGTCTCTGAAACACGAAGCTCAGCTCAACAGCATCATCGGATGGGCTCAAGATGCTGGAAAAGCTACAGGTAATTTTATTATCTTATGAACTTTTACTGAGTTTGGGATCCTATGTAATGGACACAAATTAATTATGTTATACATACGGTTTTGAACATTCGAATAAGATGACAGGTAAATTTAGAGGTTGGTCTAATGTACATCTTCAATCACGAGAGTTCAAAATCTCGAAAACATGCAATTGGAGGCTAATTTCATAGAATGATTGATTACTACAAAAGAGTAAATTGTGGATGCAAGCCGACAATTGCATATTTTCTATAAGTGCCTATAAGCTTGTGGAATAGGCCACACTATGCAGAGTCAATAGTATGCTTGTGTGTTCCGGCAGTTAGTCTAGATATTCTATCTATATTTTGACACCAATAATAAAAGTTGCTGCATGCGTAATACTGTTGAAAATAACGAACTAATAGAAGAATTTTTGATCAAAATCTGCTAAGGAGCTTGTCACCGTATTCGGGTGTTAAAACCTACGAGAATATGTCGCACCTTTGCAAGAACACTATAAAAAAATTTGAGTATTTGCGATTTCTGCACATATATATGTACATAAAATACAGCGTAACAGGAAACTTTTTGTTACAATTCGGGTGTAGATAAATGCAGATTTCAGAGTCATTTCGTTACAATTCCATTATAATTAATCGGTAGTGATTTAAGCAGAAAGATAACATATGTTAAATTATTATTCTGATGTTTGTATGACCGAATTAAACCACATATATTTTTAAAAAACATCTTTATTGCGCGGTATCACCCTAATATTTCAATGATGACTTTGCGCGATCTCAGAACGTTACAAGAAAGTGGAAGAGAAAACAAACGAAGTGTATCTTTACCTAGAAAAGCGACAAAACCCAAATTATCTTCTTTTTCCTCTATTCAGTCGAAACCGTTATTATACAGTGCAAGGCTGATAATATACAGGGTGTTCCTTAATGATATGCGATTATTTAAGGGTGTGAATCTACTTGAGAAATTAATGTTAGTTTGCTTTATAAACTATGGTCCAACAATGTTCCCTTACAAAAACTCGGGGTGTTGTGTTTTAGGAAAAAAGTGGAAATTAATTAATATTTTCAGAACCGCTTCAAATATTTCATTGATATTTAGTACGTAGTGAAAGTTAATAAAGTTGCATATTTTTCAGTGCAAAAACAATTTTTAGCTCTAACAGTGGCGTGCGTACAGGTATTGACTTCGACATTTTTTCAGAAAAAAATGGTACGTCAATGGTTTTTTGCCAAATGAAAATTATTTTTGAATTTTCGGTTCAATTTAAAACAAATGTGCTCTCTTGAATTATTTTCCTTTGATTCGCCATTTTTGAGTAAAAAATAAAAACCGTTCTATTGTCGGAGAAAATTAATTTAATAATTGAAGAATGCAATTTAGCAATAAATATCTAGTTGCTCTGGAATATGTCACTGGCTTTCGACATCTGACAAGTATCTGTTATCCAAATCTGCTCGCTGTGACATCTTTTTCGTTATTTAGTTTTTACAATGTTGTTAATAATGGTGAATTATTCAAATGCAGAAATGGCGGAAATGCATTACGTATATGGCCTTGCGTACGGTACTGGTGAGCAAGCCAGACGGATTTATCACCAGAGATATCCCGATCGTGCTTTGCCAGATAGTCGAACCTTTTCTAATATGCATCGTCGTCTTGTTGAAACTGGTTCTGTCCGAAAATAAACATCTGAAGGTAGACCTCTAAGTGTGAGAACACCTGAAATTGAGAAAGCAGTGCTGCACGAAGTCGAAGAACATCCTGAAACCAGTGCGAGGAAGATCGCTAGACACTTAAATATTTGCCATTAAATTGTTTGGAGAATTTTAGTGGATTTTTTGTTATATCCTTACCATATTTTAAGAGTACAGGCATTACTTCCCATTGATTTTCCAAGGCGTGTGACCTTTTGTCAGTGGTATCTTCAAAAAATTACACAAAATCCGCAATTTGAATCAATGATTCTGTTCATGGACGAAAATCCCTATACCGTAACCGAAACCCATTTCCAACACCAATTTTCGGTTAACGTATGGGCAGGAATTATTGGCAACCACTTTATTGGCCCATTCTTCTTGCTGGGACGACTTAACGGAGAGACTTACCTCAATTTTCTTCAACAACTGTTGTCTCTGCTGCTTGATGATGTTTCGTTAGTAATAAGAAACAATATGTGATACATGCACGATGGTACACCAGCGCATTTCAGTGTAGCGGTTCGAAATTATTTACAAACTGTTTATCGTTGAATTGGCCGCGGTGGGCCCCAAGAATGGCCACCAAGGTCCCCAGATCTCAACAGTTTAGATTTCTTTTTGTTGCGCTATCTAAGACACTAGTGTACACAAGTCCCATTAACACTGTAGAGGAATTAGGAGAAACAGTAGTTGCAGATTGAGATAGAATAAAAAACACTCCAGGGATATTTTAACGAGTGCGCGATTCCATGAGAAGGAGCGCAGAAGCTAAGTGAATTTTCAACAATTTTTGTAATCATTTCGTTTGTTTTAATGTTATGTTCATGTTGCTAGTTGTTGTTGTTCATTACCCCTAATGTGTTTAATTTTTCCAATTAAATTAATAACAATTTTGCAAGTTAGACAATAGAACGGTTTTTATTTTATTACTAAAAAATAGCGCATCGAAGAGAGATCATTTGTTTTAAATTGAACGGAGAATTCAAAAATAATTTTTATTTGGCAAAAAACCATTGGCGTACTATTTTTTTCTTAAAAAATATCGAAGCCAATACTCGTATGCACGCCACTGTTAAAGCAAAAAATTATTTTTGCATTGAAACATATGCAACTTTATTAAGTTTCACTACGTACTAAGTATCAGTGAAATGTCTGAAGCGGTTCTGAAAATGTTAATCTACATCTAAACTTCAACACCCCGAGTCTTTGTGAGGAAACATTTTTGGACCATAGTTTATAAAGCAACCAAACATTAGTTTTTCATGTAGATTCACACCCTTAAATATTCGCATATCATTAAGGAACACCCTGTATATTTGTTAGAGCGAACGTTGATTGACCCAATGTAGATTCAAGAAAGAATGGTCAAGGGTTTTCTGAAGTATTTGAATATGTCTCGTGGACAATCACATTTTCTGAACGTGACGTCTTTCTTGCGTAGGGAAGACGCAAAAATGTGGATCCTCTAGTATGCCGTAAACATTTCCTGTTACATTGGACATCTAATAAGAACGCACGCTTGCCGTTTTTATAATTACTGATGTGTGTACATACATAGGTTTCGTGACCACAACTAGGGTAACGCATGCAACTCCCAGCGCCCTCTATGCACATACTCCCAACAGGAATTGGGAATGTGAAAGCAAGATACCGACAGGTAGTTCACAATGCAAAGACATTGCTAGGCAGCTGATAGAAGATATGCCGGGAAAAAATATTCAGGTAACATTATTATCACATCATTACTATTTTTGTTGTGAAATCCTCCATCAGTAAGGCACAATTGCTGATTAGATACATATTATAAGTTATAAATGACAAATATAAATGTTAGCATGAACTGTCAAACACAACTTATTTCATACATTATATTGCGTCGAATTATTTGATTTTTCGTTAGAAATTCGTTTAACTGAGAGTTCAAAATGGATTTTTGCTGTACGATATCAGCAATCTATCTTTCCGAAAGCAATAAGAACGTTTCTTTGAATAATGCCAATCATATACTGAAATCACTATATCAAAATGATCTACCTCTATTACGTAAAATTTTTTTATTTTATGTCTGATACACCTGTCTTGCACGGGGCTCATACCGTATTGACCTATTCACCAGTTCACCGCCTGAATCAGAAGATAATTTATTAACAAGCACGTGTGTAAAAGCTTTATCTTTTCCACTGTAATTAAGGATCATATCACAGATGGTGGCTAGTGAGATGTCACGCTGAATCACACAACTAGGGACCTAGAATGATGCATTGACAATCATTCTCTAGAGCTTGTTCTGGAACCCTTATGAGACGTTCCTGTACTCGCTATATATCCAGATTGGTTTGAGTAAAGCATTGAAACAGCCTGTTGTCCAATGACAGTTCTGATTTTGTACGGATTATCCCCCGTACTTCTCCTAGTTTCGGTACTAGCTGTTTCCTTTTAGTGAAAATGTGGAGTTACCAAATTACTCTTCGATCAAGGCAGAGCCCGAGATACATTGCATGGTTTGAGTGTGGAATTTCTTTATTGTTAATAGTCACTAGTCGTAGTTTTTTGTATACAGGGTGTTTCACAACTTATCCGAAAAATTTTAACCACATATACACTGTGACGAAAGAAGTTTTTTCTCAGCAAAAAAATGTAATAAAAGTCCTACAGAAATCGAGATAATAAAATAATACAGTTTAACAGTTCACCTACTAAAGCTGTTCAAAATTGTTTCCATTGATTGCAATGCAAGCTTGGGCGCGTCTAATCCAATTTCTGCGCACTAATTCAAATACACCTCCTTCTTGCTGTGTCTGAAGGCTCAAATTATCTGCAGCCACTATGATTCGGTCACGCAATTCTTCAATATTCTGAACTGGAGTACGGTATACCTCGTTTTTCAACTATCCCCATAAAAAGAGGTCCAGAGGACTAAGATCGGGAGACCGTGGAGGCCATGCAATTGGTCCACTCCTTCCGATCCAGCGTATCTGGTATACCTAATTAAAAAAATCACGAACTTCTGAAATGCCCCATCGTGCAGAAACCACATCAGTGCTCGGACCGCGCATCTTTAAGAAGGACCGGTAAATCATTCCGAGGAAATTCCAAATACTGTTGACCATCGATCCGATCTGGCAATATGAACGGTCCAAGTAGACGTTCATCGACAATACCTGCCCACACGTTTAAAGTATGCGCCACGCTGTTGCATGTGACACTTCTGGGACCTGTTGGTCTTACTGCCCTGTGCTTATTCCCGGATTTTCTTCCACAATATCCAAAATTTCTTCTTCGGCATTTAAAACGCGTTGTGGGCGAACCAGACCCTCATCCACTCCACGTCTGGGGCGCAAATCTCCACTAGCACGTGCACGTATAACAATTGAACTAAATGTTTCGTGATGTGGTATGTGCCTATTCGGAAATCGGTGTGCATACAAACGAGAAGCCGCTCGCGAATTTTTCCCTGCTTCTCTGTACACCAACTCCTTATTAGTGTACACATGTGCCATTTTTATCAATAAGTAACTAAAAACATAAGCACGCAAAATACTTTCTTATTTAACTTCACAAAAATCGACCGTTCTTCATTCAGATCACCCACGATACAGATTAAACCTTATTTACACGTTCTTATCAGTATGAGAGAACAAAAAATTCCTGGTATTTTGTTTTCATCAGTTGTTTGGTACAACATTTGATACAATAAATTAATTAATAATGCGTGTTCTAATATTACGACGATGAACGCAAAATACAGATATTTATTTTTCAATTTATTATTGAAACACAGGTTTATATCTTAATTTCTGTAGGACTTCTATTTCATTTTTTTTTTTTTGAGATATCAGCTTCCTTCGTAACAGTGCATATGTGGTTAAAATTTGTCGCATAAGTTGTGAAACACCCTATATAGGCGAAAAAAATATGTTTAAAACGTTTAATTAAAAAATTAAATTGCATTTTTTTATCTGACAAAGAAACCTTTCATTTACTTGCACTAATATGCTTCTTGGCGAAGGAGGGAAAGATGGCTTTACACAAAATGTTAACATTGAAATTCCTATCTCACGGCCTACAGCTCAAACAGCTTGATGGATTTTCACACACGAAGGTGTCTCTAAATATGTCCAAAATTAAATAAAATGGAAGTACTTAAAAAGGCTGTCGTGCATATTAAATTTGGGTACTCGAACAACAAATTCATGCGTACGGGATCTGAATCTGTAGCATAGCATGTGCAATTCGCTGAAGAGATTAAGATGAGCAGTCAAAGCTACTTAATAAGAACTCTGACCATAAGACAAACATCTTTGACATAAACCCTTTACAAAACACTATTAAATGTAATGACATTGCATTTTTGCTTTACGTCAGCCTATATTATTTATTGAAATCAAAATATATCCTCTAATATCATACTAGGTTGTGCTCCTTACTTTTCCTTCTTTCAGGGGCTATACCTTTATTTTTTTTCCCTATTTTACGTATACAATTTGTTCGTACTGCTTTAGCATCATTTAAAATATTCAACAAATAGTATGGATTTGTGTGAAATATAGCAATTTAACGAATGTCAATCGCATTTCTGCTACATGGCATGCGACCATGTATAGTCAACGCCAAACAAAGTGGCGTGCACGTCATCAAGGTGGGTGTGTTGAAAAATTTACATTGTTGCCAAACTTTTTGTAAAATAATACAATTTATTATTTACATATCTAGGTTTATAAGCAATATTAACCTCAAATGAGAACAAAAATAATAGTATAATAAAATTATAGATCTGTACTTGCATAATCATTAAGTATGACAATTATTGATCAGATGACACTATGAAACTACCATATTTAATTGATAGCTTAAAGGTACTGAATAAAAATCCAAATGGGGTCCTCCAAATTTTATGCATGGTATTTATTTTACAGAATTCATACAGAAAAATGCATTCTAAAATTAGGTAAGCTACTGGTGTAAGCTTTTTCTGTACAATAAAGTTAGTCGGAGTTTCTTTCTTCAGCGCTGTCTGAATCTGAATCTTCATCACTCTCAAAGTTGATTATTAAAGGTTCGATGTCTGGTCGATCAAAAATTCGTTCTCTTTCATACCATTTAAAAATTTCTTGCTCAGTATGTCGAACACTATTTTTCCACATGTCTGGGGTAACCGTTTGTAGAGCCTCGTTCCACATATCCAAACAGTCTTTTTCACTGTTACCATCTCTACCAATATGTCTGTTATAGTAACCTTTTGCTATGCCCCAAATTAACTCAATAGGGTTAAATATACAATGGTAAGGAGGCAGACGAAGAACTTTGTGCCCATGTTGTTCCGCCAATTCATCAATCACGTATATTTTAGGTGGTTTGTTTCTAAAAAAGCAGTTATTTTAAGAATAGGAATAAACAAAAGAAATATAAACTGTCGACCAAAATATATATAATTAAGAAGCATTATGTACCGAGCAACAATACTCAATAGCTCTGTTTTAAACATTGTGTTTAAAAGTGGTATGTTTTGATTTGTCAACCAGTCTTGGATATTTTTTTTGTCCATGCATTGTTGGGCACTTTGTTCAATATCATGCTGTGATAAGGGGCGTTATCCAGTATAATCATAGATGGACTCTCCAATTTTTCTAATAACTGATGTTGAAACCATTTCAAAAAATTGTCCTGGTTCATCTCTCCATGGTAATCGCTCAATTATGTTTTCGAAGAAAATATCGCTTCACTACCCTCAATAAACCCATTTTCATTTCCAGCATGTAATATAATGTATCTAAAATATATTAGTTTTAAATTTTATAGTGCAAATTGTGTAAAAGTACATACCTTTTACCATCTGTTTTAATAGCTTTCACGCTTTTTTGGTTTCCATTTTGCCAAGAGCGACCTATGGTCCCATTTTGAAATATCCAAGTTTCATCGAGAAAGACAAACTGGTATAAGGCCTCAACCTTGGCTTGATTGTATTGCCTTAGAAATTCCACCCTTTTCAAAGCTATACTTGGTAGTTCCATGAGCCCTCGTCGCGGATTGTCCTTAAGCCACTTAAATCCAAGATCTCTAAGCAACCGCCTTAAAGACGTGGCACTACCATCAAATAATGCCCTATCCCTTAATCGAGACCATAAAGTTTGTATCGTAACTTGTTCTTCTGAAACCATGTGTAATATGACATTATAATTTAGTTAACAAATTAATGCAAATTTCTGATAAGTTATTATAATAAGATCTTACTTTTGTGATACATATTATAGATCACTTCTCGAATGGCACTTGTATCCAATGTCGCTGTGTTGGTTACACGTTTAATATAACTCCGCTTTTTCTTGGGCGATTCTAAATTTGCATCACTTTTCACATCCTCGGAAATACAACTAACTGTCCTTAAACTAATTTTTAAAGCAGCAGCAACACGCTACAAAAAATGAAATAAAATTTCACTATTATTAATATACATTACATATAATTATTAGTAACCTACCTCTTGAACAGCATTTAAAGGCAACAAAGGCCCGTTGTTGTCCCTTTCTTGCTCAAAGTAGTGCATTAACGAGGCCACGAGTTCCTTACACCGACTATTTAACTGTTTGGGCATCTTTATATACCAAAATTGCCTTTATCTACTCGTAAAATGAATAATTTTGTTTTGAAACAAACAGTTGTTGATTTACAGTATGCGGGGCCAAAGGATTTATAAAGATTTGAAATGCCACAAATTGATTCAG